ATAAATCTAAAGTATAATTTATATATTTAAATATAATATTTATTTATATTCATAATTTATTATAAAATTTAGTTATATATAATAAATATTTATCTTATGAAATGCACATATTAAAATATTAGTTACTATCAATAATATTAATGAAATTGAATGAAAAATAATATTAATTTTTTTAAAATTAAATGATGAAATTAACTTGTTTAAAAATAATTTAACAAAAATAAATTTTAAAATAAATAGAGGACAAAAATATATCGATCAAAAAAAAATTTTAGTCCTTATAATTTTTCTGACTTTATTTTTTAACTTTTATAATTTAAATTTTTAATCTTTTTTAATTCTTGTCATTCCTTTTTTTTTTTTTTTTTTGACAACGTGAATTTACTAAAATTAAGATTGAATGTGATTTAAATGAATTGTCAAATTATTAATGAATACATAATAAATCATTAAATAACATTTCATCAATCATAAAATCAAATATATTACATATCACATCAATTTAATAAACTTATGTGATTGACATGAAAACAAGAATAAGGACTTAAAATGATTAAAAATATAATTATAGAAATTAAAAAAAAAAAACTAAAAAAAAATATTAAAATTAAAAAAAGTTAAAAGATATTTTAAAGTATATAATTGAAGATATGATATTTGTATGTTTTTGATATTGATTTGTTTTGAAAGTGCGGGGCCCTTGGGTTGTGAAGTGGAGAGTGATTATGATAATTATTGGCATTGGGTGGGAGCACGCACCTTTAATAGATGAAAGAGAGAGAGTTTGGGGATACTGAATTGGACGGTCATTGATTCGGTAACCATGAGCGTGGAGTAAGAGAAGGACAGGTGGCGTAGAGGTGTTGGTGGAATTGGTTATAAAGGAAGAGGAGGGAATGAAATGAAAGAGCAAAGTAGAAGAGAATGGGTGCTTTGGATCACATATCAGAGCTGTTTGACTGCTCGAGTGGGAGTTCAAAAGTGAAGAAGAGGAAGCAATTGCAGGTAAGGTGGTAAGTGAAATGATAGTAGAGTGTAGAGTGATACTGATAAGAAAGAAAGAATGATTGTGTTGTGTTGTGTTGTGTTGTGTTGTGTGTATGGAACAGACGGTGGAGGTGAAAGTGAAGATGGACTGCGAAGGATGCGAGAGGAAAGTGAGGAAGGCGGTGGAGGGGATGAAAGGAGTCAGCCAGGTGGATGTGGAGAGGAAGGCCAACAAAGTGACGGTGGTGGGATACGTCGAGGCCTCTAAGGTGGTCGCACGCATCGCTCACCGCACAGGGAAAAAAGCAGAGCTCTGGCCCTATGTCCCATACGACGTCGTTGCGCATCCCTACGCCCCCGGAGTCTACGATAACAAAGCCCCCTCTGGTTACGTCCGGAACACCCACCACCCCAACCATTCCCATCTCGCACGTGCCACCTCCACTGAGGTCCGCTACACCACCGCTTTCAGCGACGACAATCCATCCGCCTGTGTCCTTATGTGATTCCAAATTCTCTATTATTTTCACTTTCTCGCTCTTCATCAATCATCGCCACAACTCTAATGCACTTTTTAATTCTTCCTCAACCACTTTTCTCTACCTCAATACATTATTTTTATCAATGCTTCTCCAACCCAAAATATTTAATTCACACAATCACGTTAGGTGTACGCAGGGGGGCCTCACTGGGGGCTAATTTCAAAATATTCATTTCCTTAAGTAAATATATCTATTAAATCTTATATGAAATATTTATACGTAAAAATTATTCATAAGTTTTACAAAATGTTTTCTTAATTATGTTATTAAAAATTACTTAATAAAAATAAATTAAATATCTTAACGAAATAAAAAAAGAAATTGAATTATGTACACAACAAAGACGCAGATAGAAATATAAAGTATTTGTTTACGAAAACAATGGCTTAATCTTCGTAATAAATAATATAACTATTTTTACAACTAAACTCCTATATATATATATATAATCAACTTAAGTTTTCTAAATTAAATATAATAATTCACATTAGGGGGTCCCTCCAAAGTAGTTCCGTCCATGTATAGATGGCAATGAACCGAAAACATTTTTGGAAGTCTTATTTTGCCCCTTCAACTTCATAGTCATAAAAAAAATTTAAAGTAATGAATAACCTAAAATCATATTTAAAATGTAGGTATTTGAATTTACTAAACCAAATATTAAAATTCGACACAGATCAAGATGGTAATAATTGATGAGTAAGACATTATTTGCAAATAGTTGTGGTAGCAGAATTATACATCGTAGCTTTATGAAAGACATTCTTATCAAAGGGAGAAAAATAATTAAACTCGGTTGGTAACTTAACCCTTCTCGGTACAAAGCGACCAGAACTTGTAGGACATAGCATAACAAATTAACAGAAAACTCGTGACAAGAGGATGAGGGTGAGGCACAAAGAGAAACTAATATGTAGGGTAAATATAACAAGCTTAAAAATTTCAATAGATAATAAAATATGTAAACTCCATATTCCTCCAAAATTAGAGAAAAAAAATTGCCTAAATAATGGAATAGAATCTCATTCCATATCCTTTTAGTGAATTCTGTCCTAATTTACAAAATTCGGATAACGGTATTGCTTAACTTTTTGGTCTATCCCCGATTCCTCGTTCTGTTCATTTCATCTTCTACATGAAATTACTCTTTCTAGTGAACAATCAAAACATCTAGGTGCACTAGCGTACAGTACACCATATTACCACTAGGGATGGCAAAACGGGCAGCCCGGCCCGTTTTGGTCCAGCCCGCCATTAACCCACCAAAAACGGGACGGGCTGGCCCGGCCCGCCAATGTAAAACGGGATGGAGATGCTGGCCCACCCCGCCTAAGGGCAGGCTGGCGGGCCAGCCCGCTTACAAAAATAAAAAATAAAAAAAT